CATGAATTTCGTCGTCACACGTTCTAACCACATTCCCTCCCAAAGGAATTTCAATTTCTGTGACCCCTGCACTTGTTAGGAAGTTAGTCGGGACGGTTAGCCATTAAAATGTTATCAAAAAACGTTTAACGTTGACGATCATGGTTCCCATGGACGGTTCTCTAATTTATTTGAATTTTCGTTGCAACTGATTCGTTACGCACATCGACAACTCTGCAAATTGAATTTCTTCCGATCCAATTGCTAACGTCGTTCACGTAATTCGCTGATTTATCGTTAATCGTGTTTCGGACTGAAGTTGGGGAACTACACCTTCGTCCCTGTTTGAAGTGTCGCACGAAATTGTTCGGTATTTGATCGACCTCCCGTGGTAATTTAATGTGGAACGAGACTGTTCCTGCAAAGGAGAGGTGAAATTACATGAAATATCTACTTTCTTTGTATTTCGCTTTACGAGCTCTTTGATTACATATAATAGATACTTTAATACGTTCGCTGCCAACGTCATGTATTTGTGACGATTATACATCTATACTTTACATAAATAAAATGAAATTAATTCTATTTTAACACTAGAACTACCTAGAATTTATTAGAGTTGATACGTCATCGTTATAAAGATTGTAACAGTACATTTTTTTGCCATTTCTTCAGACATTTGTTATAGTTTTTAAATGAAACTATTTATTTTCAGACTTATTACAGATATTGAATACTTTTAAAATATCAGTAATTGCAAAATAAGAAAACTAACATCCATCACTTTGACAGATAGTCTTAAAGTTGTAAGGTGTGATATTATATTTAAGAACTCGATAACTTTTCTTAGTTGCTGTTTTTCAATATTTTATGTAGATAATTTATTGTATTCGATGGAATATTGCAATTGAGAAAATCGTCACTAAACAAATAATGGTAGCGAACATGTTAAAGGATGATTTAATAACCTACAATGTGATGAAATTCAAAAGTAGGTATATACCGATATTGCAGTTTTAATCTAGTTTCTAAGACACTAATAATTAAAAATCTTTCTGTACTACAACGACCTAATAAGAATCGATAATAATGTACAAGATAGATAATTAAAGCCCTGATTGATGCGACGCGTAACCTTTGCAAGGTTCATAACGTTGAAAAATTGATTATACACAGTTTGAAAAGGATTGTGTAAAGTTATTATTATAATAAAGTTTATAAAATCGACAACATTAAAATTAAAAATATAAAAATTTTAATAAAACCGTAGTTACTATATTGGAGACCCAATATTATTTTACGTGTGATCTAAAAATATTGAATAATTAAAAGGAACGTTCGAACAAGACACGAATTCCTGAGACGTTTAATACAGAAAAGGGTTACGATGAACATATACTGAACCTAAGAAGAGAAAGCCGCCAATAACCACAACTGAAATTGGAAACAAAGCTTTATTCTCGATTACATTCATAAAAAAACGAAACTATTCTTCAAAAACTTCATATTACAATTCAAATAACCCCAAAAAAATGAAATTCCTTAGCTGAAATACTTTAACTGACCGAACGTTGGCGAGAAATATTACAGCAATAAGAATTTTCAAATGCAGCACCTTCCCACAAAATTTCTCCATCGTCTAAGGGAAACAACGTGCCAAATAAATCAATACAGAATTCTCAGGAAACAACTGATAATCTCTACGCTTCAAACACTCCCCCAAGTGTCTCCGTTCAAAGTCGTCCGAATAATTACGAGGCCGTGCTGTATATTCAGCAGCCAGCATCTGGATCTCATCGATCCCAACTTCTCGCCAAGTTTCTCCACCCGGAGAATTGTTCCGCGATGCATGCGGGGCATCATCCTAATACAATTTCTATAAGCCTCGCTAAGAGGACGCGTGACCAGAGGGAGGAGAGTTCACGACGCGACGCAGTAGCTAACAGTCCCGGCGAATTTCAACGCTTTCGCGTTTACACATTCGTCGAGCATAGCCGTGATCTGCTACGGAGCCGTTATTACTAATCAGAGTTTTCCGGTCTCGCGGCTCGAGACAATGAAACGGAAGCACGTAAATGGAAGTAGCATGGCGGAGCTACCGGGTGTTAGGGCGCCGCGCGTCGCGTCCTCGTCGCCCGCCTCGGGAGCATAATTTACAAGGCGTAACTTCATAGTTTCCGTCGTGAAATTCCACGAGGAGAATTCAATTTCGGCCGGCAGCCGTGCGAGGCCCGCTATTACCCATTATTCTTTCCGGGCCGCTTCATCGCGGCGAGAACCTCTCCCCGTGCTGCCAACTTCTCCTCGCCCCTGTTGTTTCTCTCCACGGCGGCATTACGAACTTCCATCACCCTTTTTGCTACGACTCCAGCTTTTTGCCTCTCTTTCTCTCTCTATATCCCTTCGTCTTTCTCTTTATGCGTCACCCTTTGACCCTACCTATTATTGTTTCCTATTTTCATTGTCTGTCTCTTATTGGCTTTCTTTTCTTCTTACTTTGTCCTGTAATTTCTTTGCTCCTCTCCCTTGGTCTCTTTTTTCTTGCTTTGTCCTTCACTTTCTTGCCTCCCCTTTCTATTCGCTTCTATCTTTTTTTCTTAGTTTTTCCCTGACTTCCTTTGCTTCTCGCTCTTTTCAACTGTTTCATTTTGTTTTTCTTTGTTTGTCTGTACATTTATCTCTTTTTCTTTGACACTTTCTTCCTTTCCATGGCCTTTATCCTCTTCTTTCTTTTTTTCTCAATGTCTTTCTCTTCTCTCTTCTTTTACCTCTATCTTTCTCTCTGTTCCTTCGTCTTTATCAATTTCACTCTCTGCCTTTCGCTCCTCGGAGCACACGCGCAGCCGCGCATTGTCTTTCTAATCCCTTCTGCGAAAGACACGCCGCGATCGCAACTTCTAATGAAATTTCCGTCGTTCATTTTTGACGAAGTCAGTTAAACGTCTGACCGAGCTAACACGGTTACCGTGCAACCCGGAAATGAATTACCGACTCCCTGACAAACTAACATGGCAGCCAAGGTCCGCGGTGTGAAATATAAGGGCGTTAATGGGATGGTAATATCACGGTGAATGGATAAATATAATAAATGCAGGTTCATCTTGCGCCTCGGGATAGAGTTTGTTCTTTTGGTACGGAGGTTGAATAGTATTTATGGGATTTGTAATTAGAAGGTGTTTATGTGGAATTACATTTTTATAAAGAAATTTAAGCGGTATTACTTTTTCACTATTTTCAAATGGTAATGTTTACGATGATTAAAAAACAATTAGACAACTTTAAAGTCTTTTAAGGAAACTACCGATGACAACGCTGAAAGTTGAAAATTTAGACATTTTTTTATGGTACTTTACAATTCTAATTCTTACCAAGAATGGATTAATAACAATGACGTCGTGTTTTAGACCTTCCAGCACTTTAAGCAGCTGTTTCACCTTAGAACATGTAATTATTATGTCTCAATGTTTCAAATAGTTTGTGATAAAGTGTCGGTACTATATATTCTTTTTGCAATAATCTTGTATGAGAATCATTAGCTTATTATTATCAACATAAATTAATGTATAGTGTACGTTGTGAATGTTTTGTATAACTCTCATAAATTCTCATAAATTAAATATGCACTAAATATTCTTTCAAATAGAATTAACTTTTTAACGTCCGCCTAGGAGTAAATCATTTCCTATAAACCCATAAATACCAACACTAATTATAATTAAAAATTTTTAAAATTATTTTCTTCCTTTAAAACAACTAGACTCGTATATTGTAAGCTAACAAAATGTGAATTTAAAAAGAGGCAAAAATGAATTAATAATTAATTCTTCAGAACTTTCTATCTGTGGCCATACACCCCTTAATTAGTTATCTATTGACCGGATTTCGAAAGTCAAATATTAACGCTGGTTGGCCAAACATACTGTAACTATGATAATTAAACCCTTCATTCAATATGTACAGATGATGTGGTTGTAATAATTTACCTGTGCACATAATACCTTGTTTAGAAATAAATCACAGGTACGAAGCTAAATATTTTGGTCGAAGGTTACTTGTGTAACCTTGAAATATTTCTATTTAAATTCAATTTCATCAAATATATACGAGCTCTCATGAAAAAAATTCATTATGTGTTTTGCACTCATTTAGCAACAATTGTTCCAGTCTACGTTTCACGGTTATCTCGGAAAATGGTTTCCTACTCTCGTTTGCTTTGTGTTTATGAAAGTTAATTGTTACACGCAAACTCTTGTAACATGTTGATGAAACTTGGACATGTTTTTAAACTTTCCTGCATTTTGTGTTATATGTTTTAATGTTTGATTTCAACATTTATTAATATCTAAAAATGACTATATTTAGTAGACAAATATTCACCAGCTATCAATAATAGAGTCAATATGTAATAAATGAATATACCGTAAATTGAAACTTATTGCTATTAAGTAAAAAAAAAGACTTTGTTAAACGTAATACTATTAAATATAAAACCAATAAAAATTCCATCTATAATGATAGAGTGCGTATCATTTTTTAATAATAAAATATAATCTAAAGTATTAACCCATTTCCATCAGAAAACGAGGATTCTCGTTTTTAAAACGTCATCTAGAATTCTCGTTTCCCAATGCAAATATATTAACAGACTAGATTATATGTCATATTACATATTAGTTACAAAAATAATTATCGCGGTTTTAAAACACATATGTCGAACTATTTTTATATCATTAAAATACCCCGTTCTATAGCAACGTTTTACCAAAAATCGCCCAATGCGAATATGTTAATACTATAGTATTAATACCTTTGTACAACATCAAGTAAATACTATGTATTATTTCAAAATGTATGAAATGAATATTCAAATTTTTTTGATATAAATTAATCGTACTGTTGTATCCACACGGTCATATAATTTGCTAACTGGAATTAATAGTATTGATTCAATACGATTCTAATCGGGCAATAACGATTCAAACAGCGCCGCAGCGGTATGATTGACAATTTGTTCAACTTACTCGGCAATTTCCGATGCCTTGGCTATTTGGCAGTGAACGCCACGATCCACCAAACATTTTCCAGTCACAGGATCCGGCGGTGCGAGATTGATGTAGGGTGGTTCCTCCAGGAAAGTTATTTTTAAATTAAACTTCTCCGGAACTCCTTGAGGAGGTGTATGGGTGTTTCCAGGCCACACGATGTCTTTGATGTCGAGACCCTCCTTTTCCCAGGACTTCCAAACACCGATCTGTTAACAGAAACGAACAAGAAGAAACGATTAATAAGATCGAGTGTTAAAACATTCAACAGTCTCTACGAAAGAAGAAAACAGGTTCTCAAAGGGCATAGAAGTCTTTTTCATGTATCACCACTATTAGGGGGTTTTATAGAAACAAAACTTGTATAATTGAAATTTTATCAATTTTTTAATGTTCATTAAAATTACTGTAAATTTAATAGTACTTTAATAGAATTATTGTTTGCAAATGCATTAAGTCTCATTTTGGTAAAGAATTGAATAGGTTAAAAATGATAATAATTGATCTTGAATTGCATATAAATAGAAAGATAGTTTTATTATCATGCAAAAATACTTTTTAAAATAAACATTACCAAAATTTTATTGTTAGTAAATGTTTCTACTTATTCAAAATTGTATAATTTGTTTGAATTATTGTATTTCTCAAGTTTTTTTACTTTTCAAATAATTTTAATAATTACATCAAATTTTTGGAAAATTTGTAGCAACACTGTATGTGATTTAAAACCTACAATTAGACAATTTATTGTCTTTTATAAATTCAAAGTATATTTTTTACGGAAGTCCTAAATAATTAAATATCGTCAGTCAGTATTATGAAAAATATTTGATTTTTGCAATTGTCCTTATAGATTTACTTTCTATTGTAAATATAAAAGTGACATTCTCATTTCACTTAACGTGTCTCTCTACGCTGGTAGCAATTTAACGTTATTAAGTGAAGCCACCGTGAATGGCAAATGCACAGGACTCCACATATAGTTATTAACACATTTTCCTGCCAGAATATAAGGGTAAAGTGCAATTAACGACAGCAGCTCTGAGGGTTTAGGAATCCTTTTCTGATTTAATTACAAGGTTTCATTTAAAGTTACTTCATTTGGTTACCACACATTTCCTGTTTTATCTTAAATCTCACAAACCACAATGTGTTCAGGCTAAAGCAATATTCATTAAAAATAAGATTATACGTAACGTAATTGTTTGGTAATTATTTTCGGGCGAAAACGTTATATACAATGAAGTTTCAAAAGTGACTGTATATGAAATTTTGATGGAAACATTTTTAAGAACCTAAAGCTGTTTACATCTTTTAAACAACAGTTTTCGAAACCTGATATTTTGGATTAAATTAAATTTATATTTCTTACCATTTCAATTCATTAATCAGAGCTTTACATTTGTAATCCCAAAATTTCATCACCAATTAACAATTCTGTATTGTTCAGTTGAATTTAATGTACTTAAGAATAAATATTTAAATTTGTTTAGTTTTCCAAATTGAAATGAAAAACTAAACAAATGAAAACTAAACAATGAAAACGGACAGTCAATGTGTTAAAGCAGGAAAAATTGCTTTCAGATTTCTTCATTTCACATTTTTTAAATAACGAATAATTCCAGAAATAATTGCATTTATAGGTTTAAAGGGGGCACAGTGTATATTGGTGACCGAGCGATACCGAATAAAGTGGTCGCGAAAATTTCGAATGAAACTGCTCGGCCCGTGGATAAAGTGGAAAAGATTGCGATCGCTCACGGATGAAAATGACAGTCAGGTAAAACTTCGTTGGCATTTCGAATATGTAATAGGCGGAGAAAAAGGGGCCGTCCCTGGTGTACGATCGGCCGACATTCGAATATTGGAATTCGATACAGATACAGTGTGTGCTGTACGTGTCGTCGATGTAAATTCATTCGCGCGCCTCTCCGCCTGCATTGCTCTCCTCTTCGCTTCTGTCGTCGTCAACGTCGTTTGAAGGCGACTCGCAATTTTTCATTCGCTCATAGCACGACGAAAACAAAGAGCAGCAAGGAACGGCCGCTGGTAATTCCTTCGCGTGGAACGTTGATTAAATTTGACGGGCAGTGCGCCCGAGATATCTGGATCGGATACGTTTGAGCCGGCGATGTTAGATTGTTCGGTAATAAAGTGGAGTTTTTGTGAATAATGAAGTTATTTGTTACTTTGTATATGATGCGAAATATATGTATTTTATATTGTATATTATGTGTATTGTGTATTGTATATCGTATATCGTGTATTGTTTATTATATATTATATATTGTATGAAGTATATAGTTATTATTCGTAAACCTAAAAAAGGATTCATTATAATGTAAAGAGTTTCCTTAACATCGATTCAAATCTTTCATGTCATTAATATAAAAATCAAAAACTTTAGAATTAATAAATTTATTGATGCTTTCATAAGGGCAGAATTTATTGTAGAATTGATAATTTATTAAAAGCATTGATTTATTCAAAATATGAAACGTTAAACTTAACAAATAAAATGATTTTATATGACAATATTATTCATCAACATTCATTTGAATGGTGTTTATCGATATGTCCACTTTTTGTTGTGTTTACACAACCAAGACAGTATATCTCAAATTAAATGTATTAATATTTTTACCGGTATATAATTGTTCGTAGTAATTATAATGTTTACCTTACAATTTACTTTGTTCCATACAAACTTAATACAACCAATAATTACTTCAGTGAAATGCAATTTACGCTGGCAATAATATAGGACTCTCATACTAATGTTTTTACTGGTATAATATAAGAAATCCATATTTTTTGAATGTAGAGTGGGGCTAAAAGTCCAGCGAATAAGAAGTTCCAAGTTGAAAATTATTATTTGTTTATCAGTTGACTGAGCGTTGCATTAGACAATTCAGTCAACGACAGGTATTAGAAAACATTAAAAGCATTGTCATTCGATTTCAAGCATTTTTACGACTTGTACAACGATTTTGTCCTTATTTATGTCCAAGAGTAAAAATGTACGTCACGTGCTTTTTCTTAAATTATTACTTAACAGTGAATTATATAAGTGTATTAAGATTGTATGTTTTTTTAGTATTATGTACATGCTTTGATATGTTTCTGGATGATAAATTTTTTCAATGTATACATACATCGAGAAAGCTATGGAGGTATCTACCATTATGACAAAAATTCCCTTATTAAAACTTACTACCTCACATAAAGATTTATCGTTTCCTGATTTAAAATCTATTTATTAGAGTAGTGCACTATAAATTACATACTAATCGTAGCACTAACCAATAAATATAATGAAATACATTGCAGAAGGGGCAATAAAAAACAAAATGAAATTACATGGAGTAACTAGAGAGTGGTAGAGAATAAGTCGACTATGTAAAAATGAATTATTTAATAAATACCTGTTAAATAGAACAGAATTTCCTTCTTACTTGATTTTATATTATATGAAAATCTAGTTGTAATATAGTAGGGATTTTCTGCCTCCTGTATAAAATAAAAAGTCTATTTTGAGTTGACAAACATTTTCCGTTACAACTTAATAAACAATAACAATATCAATCAAAGAACAGTGTAAAAGTAAATTACGATAGTTGGGATTTAAGAAACGTAAAAACAAGACACGTCCAGATCGTTTTTTTTATTACTAAATTTTATCGGAAATATAATATATTATGCGCATTATAAGCGACATGTCGTATCAGATTCACAGAGGGTCGCATTTACTGCCGGCGGGTGTGAGATTAATGGAAATAATGTAACCACGAAACGACAGTGAGCATGAAGGAAGTACGCAATATCTGTAAGTAATGTTTCCTGTCGAGTAGCTTACTTATCCGGCGAGGATCTACCGAAAGACGATGCTACAGAGAATCATTCGTGTCGTTGCATTATGATTAATGTCGCCGACCGTTTTTACGAGTTTCATTGCAACATTCTGCACAAATGTAACGTTATATTTCAAACGCTATGCATAACTCCGATCTTATGACGCTGGTACGAGTGTAAAGGCGTGATGTGTCTCGTGGGAGAACTGCAGTTAGAATGGTGTTTTTTCGGGAATTGGCCGATTTCTCTCAGCAGGCCGATTCCGTTATTCCTTCCGCGGCTCCGGGAAAAACGCACCCGTTGTCTACGAAACGCCAGGCCTGGTCGCCGTCTCCCGCGTAGACTTCTTTATGGCATCCTTTTGGTGGTGCGGACAGTGGCCTTGACGCATGCTTCGAGAGGGATGGTGCAGGGGCGTAGGAATATAGAAATGTCCCCTTTCACAAGGAACGGTAAAATGTAGCTAGACTGTAGCTACTACAATGTCCGGTTGTACAGTTATGAGACATGCAAATAATTACTGTGGTAGTTTAACTCGTTGCGCTTATCAGTGATGTTCATAATATTTCTTGCATTATTGTCTGTCAGTGTCAACATTACGAGAAAACATAATTAAATTATGAAAATTGGGGCATTAATATTTAGAGAGTTAGAATTAAACAGTTATGTATCCATAAAGATACATTTTCATGGATTAAACATTAAAGATAATTTAACATTTTGAAACATGGCATGGTTATTATTGTGGTTGTTCTCCTTCTGATTACTTTAGGTTATAATTTATTAAACCATTTTATATTATTAATGATATTATTTTTTTCTTTTTTTATAAAAATTACATAGCAAAGGGAAGTAATTCATATTTAATAATAAGATCCGCAATTAGGTATGTATTGAATACTAAGTATTAAATATTAAATATAAATACTAAATATTAAATATTAAAATAAGCTTTTATATAAATATTGAATTGAAATAAACACATTTCTGACACGCCAACTACGTTAGAACTAAAATAATAAAAATGGCTACATACGGTAAAATGATGATAAAACGAAATAAATAATCGATACATTGAAAATATTCTCAATTTCTCAGAAAGGAGTACTTTATCACACTTTCATTGTGTCGCGTCGCTAAATCTCTTTAGGAGGGCTATTGACGACACCTTCTGCGAGGCACATTGGAGCCCTGAATATTTTTTACCATAGCAGAAATAAAAGCCCAAGGAACCGTTACTTCAATAATTTAGTCGTATTTGCTTCGGCACGTTTTGCCATTTTGTAGATTTACCATAACTTTAACTTACATCTGTTTGCCAGAAGTCGAGGCGATCCTTGGTTTTATTACTCGCTAT